GGGGGGGAGTAAAGGTTGCACCTAAGCAAAAGGCCATCGGGGACAAACGGCTGCTAGTCCCAAATAGATCCGCCTCGTCATTCAGGAACAAAAGCTCACTGCGCCATTTAAGAAATAAGACTTACTGTGCCCCGGTGTTTGAGCTATGTCCCCAAAAAAGAAACGGGAAGCGGGGATTTGAGCCTGAACGATCTAGATAAACAGAGTAAAGGAGCAGACACACACGAGTCCGAGAAGTGTTCGACGCATCATTGGAAAGACTGCGGCCAGGGGGGAACAGGGCACACACACAAGCTCCACTGAGCTAACTTAAAGGAGTAGTCCTTTCTTTGAACGGCTTGATGAGAATGCTCAGATTGGTGCGGAAAGACCTACGCAAACATTTTAATCAAATGCTTAAGAAACAAGGCAGAATATGTTATGAGGTAACAGTTCAGAGTAGATTCACCACTAACGAATTAATCAACCTTCTATTTACCATACGCCACACTCTTGAAAATAAATGTCTTTGCTCGAAGGGCTTTAGGAGTAAGCTTTAGAGATGAATTTAAAGTTTCAACCAACTATGTCACATACGTTACATAATAATAATATAGGTCCGAAGTTTTGATTCAAATATAATAATTAAAATCGTGAATATCTCGAAAACTGTTCAGCATGTCGCAAATGTAGCTTGCTGATTGCTATTGAATTAAAAATAAGCACTTTGAACGCAGTATAGTTGATTCAGCACCCACAAAACACACGACAGACACAGAGAAATAGCAAGAGACATAGAAATGAGACTAACAGTGGGACCCTCTAACCATCCATGTATCCACGCATCTATCCAAAAATTCTAGTGGTTAATACTTTGGGCAACGTCAAAGGAAGCATAAAGACATACCCCCCACCCCCCAACTTCCAAAAAAAAATTAAAATTGCCGAGGCACTTACTATCAGGGAAACGTTCAAAGAGATTCCGTTCCGCTACGAGATTTCAGTTAGTGTTTGCGATTCATGGCATAATCGACTCTATCGGGTCATAACTGTGTAACTGCTTAGAAAAGAGAGGAAAGACTGAGGAAGGAAAGAAGAAAACTGAACATTTCTCCACACAAAAAAACAACAATAATAACAACAAAAACAAAAAAGTTGCTTCATATTGTCAACATAAAACAGCCAGTGGAAGTGGTGGCGGTGGAGACCATTTCGCTGCTGCCATTGTGTTGTTGTTGTTGTTGTTGTCGTTGTTGTAGTTGTAGTTGTAGTTGTTGTTGTTGTGGACGTTGTTTTATTTGTGGTAGTGCATCAGAAAAAGAAGTAATCTAAACAACACTGTGTTTGAGTTTAAATTTGAGAAAAAAGATATTCTTCAACCCCCCTTCAAACACGAAAAACCTTCGGTATCTCTGGTGCCTTTGAAAAACTGGTTTGTTTTTGTTTATTGCGGTAAGGAGAAGCACATCGACACAATAATGGTCATTTAGTGCTGGGGAAAAAGTAAGATATACAGATCGAACAGAAGTTAAGTAAAGAAGTAGGACCTACCAGTGGTACCCTCCAACCACCCACTCGAAAAAAAAGAGTAGTGACAACATTGCGCAAGCCGGGGTAAGAACGAAAACAGAACTTTGGGCCGGGAAAAATCCACTTAATATAGATGGCCAAACGTAGAACATTTAGTACCACTAATCTACCAGTTAACACACGGCGGTAGCGACCGATCGTTAATTCAGCAACACAACGTGCGCGCGTGTGTGCGTGTGTGTGTGTGTGTGTGTGTGTATGTGTGCTCGTGTGTAAGTGTGTGTGCGCGTGTGTATGTGTGTGTGTGCGTGCGCGTACGTGCATGTGTTTGAGTGTGTGTGTGTGTGTGTGTGTGTGTGTGTGTGTGTGCGCCACAAGAATTATCCATATGTCGTCAAGAAATAGATAGAGCAAGTGAGAGACAGAGAGACATGG